CACAATACTGATAAGTGATTAATAAAAGTCAAAAGACCAAAGAGGTCACCTTAATACCAAAAAAAAAAAAAAATTAAAACATATCCTAACCCTAACCTCAAACAAACCCTTACCTTAATTTTAATTAAATAATCAAAACCATATAAACACATCTGGTTTTAGCCATCCTCGTATTTAGAATCAATGATGGACATCACATATAGTGCTTTATAACCGGGTTAGTTTCGGGTCATTCGGGTTAACCCGATCGGAGCACTACTCGTGCCCCTAAGCACAAATTGTTAGATACTTTATTGGCACAGGCAGGCACTATAAGGGCGCAGGCACAAATGTGCCAACTATGACTGGTATTTTACATCCATACTTATAAATGTTGTTGCCAAAGTTTTGTATCCATGCCCATGCCTGTGTCAACCAGTGCCAAATTTTTGTGTCTGTGCCTATGCCCATAAATGTCTAAGATTTTGCACCTGTACCTTGCCGGTTTACAACACTAGTTCGAGGCAGTAATTGTTTGTAGCGTAACAAAACCTGCATCATGTAGGGTTGTTAATGAAGTAGCTTGCTTCGGAGCACTCCGGAGCAGAGCCCAAACCAAGTTGGAGTGGGTTTAAACTTTATCTTTAACAACCTGGAGTAGCTATGGATCAACTAGGAGTGAAATGCTGAAGTAAGTCTAATTTGCTGGAGTAAGTTGAGGATTGGATCAACCCAACCCAACTCAACCCATTAACAACCTTAGCATCATGCAAATGCAGTTGCTATAAATTTGTGGTGAAAAAAGTTAGCAGCAAAAAAGTTTATATGTAAATATACTTTGTTGTCTTTTATTATCTGTAAAAGTAGTACGTAATACTATGCAACCTGCTAATTATTCGAAAGTATATAGTAACGATGAAACTTAAGTCGTTTGAATGAAGAATATAGTGGAAGCGCAAAGCTATAGAAATGTACATAATAGTTCCAGTATAGTTTATTAGCAGTTACAACCGAAATTGTGAATTGATGAATGTTTTATATATATTATAAAAAAAGTCGTAATCAACAAATAATTTTGTTTATTTGCTATAATGAACTAAAAGGATCGGGTCCAAGGTTTGCCTAAACCAACCCAAAACGTTGTAATAATTCTTGGGGCAGTCAATTGACTACGTATTCTCTAGGAGCTATACTTATTTCAAAAATGTTGCTCTTTAATTTAATTAATAGTGCATCGAACGGGTCGGGTAGCACTGGTTATAACATGTGATGAAAAGCAAAAATTTGTAATTTGCAAATTATCAGACTAGATCTAATCTTTTCTAACCACTTATAATTTGTATTTATATAAATACATGAAAACAAATCTTGATCTTTTTTTTTCTAAGTAATGCATGACTTTTACGTATGGGAATCTGCTTAACAGTTATGCAGTAACAAAACCTTGTTCCGAGAAATCCCGACAACCATGCTCGTTAATCGATAACTTTACTGAAATTATCTTCCTGAAATATGACTTGATTCTATCATCGTCCCTTGCATACACTCCAAATAATTATTATGTTTAACTAAGCTTATTAAACCAATCAAATTATATTTATTTTGATCGATCAAGTGATTATGTTTGTTGCCTAAAAGAGGGACAATATGTCAATCATTTTCAGCCATAAAATCAAAACATTGTTCTATGCTAGTTCGATGGGTGATTTTTCAAGGTTTACTTTGTAGTGTCAGAACATGCAAAGCGTTCAATTTGACAATAAAAAAGACAAAAAAAAAGAACTTTGCATTACCAGTAATGATGATTCGAGTAGTGGAACAATTGTTAAATATGAAGAATATGTAATTCACAAAAAAATTGGGTCCTCTAGCAGCACCGAGGAACAAAATAAATGTAAGCCTTAATTGTAAATAGATTTTTTGCTTTACTAACAATGTATTTTATTAACGAGTATGTTTTATGATAATTATTAACATGAATGATATTCATCAAAGTAAGATTAAAGCTTGATACAACTTCATATCGTACGACAATCAATGCAGTTCTTAATGAAGGTATTTTTACAACTAAAAGAGAATCATCATGATGTTTTAATCTTAAGGCTTTTATAACAGAAATCGAAGAGCAGATGGCAACAAACGTAGATTTATTATGTACGTTTTAAAATAATTATTAATAATTCAATAATTCTATAAATAACCAAATTAATAGTGAATTTAAAAATATATTTACAAAGCATCCGGACACCCAATTCCAGGTATATATATATGTTAAACCTTAAAAGAATTCATATTGCCTTCATAAATCTTATCATTCATCCATTTGAACAGACAGAATGCTTGTCCAGATTAAATCTTTAGAATTTAATCCATTACGGCAACAAAATCCCAATGCTAAGAAATCAATTCGTCTTGTCATCCATTCAGTAACTTACCATACAAAATCAAGTGTCCCACTCGAGGAACAATTGAAAAAAATGTTTCTCTTTCCTTTTGATTATCATTCATTTGTTTTTGATTCAATGAAGATAGATATTTATGATGATGGGTTATTTTTAAATACAAAGAAAAAACTTGGGCGTGCTAATATACAATTAAATACTTTAAAGCAAGCCATTATTAATCAAAAAGAATTCGAAAGGTAACACACACACAATATATATATATATATATATATATGCAGTCAATTCTCTCTAAACCGTGACCTGGATGTAGTAAACCGATCTTTAAAATTCTACATTTTTTAAACTGACCTTTTTTTCATTTTCTTAATAAGTTTGAAGGTTCGATATAGAGAGTCAACTGTATATATTTATTTATTTAAATATTTTTACCTAAACTAACACAAGGTAATTCATCTTATTATAATGAAATTTATAGAACTTTTCCACTTGAAGCTAAGGAATTTCCGCATATGCAGGAAGTTGGTAGCATCACAATAAACATAAAATTCCATTTTCCTAATGACCCACCCTTAACATCCCAAACGAATTTCCGTCCACCAGCAATACGAGCTAAAACAGCACCTCCAGTTCTTAATAGTATAAATCTCACAACTGAAACTGATGATACAGACGAATTCGATTGTGATAATATTTTAATAAATCCTGAAGTAAGATCTCTTGGCATACTTGATATGGTATTATGTCAGGAGACTAGAGAAGCAATTAAAGAGATTAAAGTTCTTTATAAATCATTTTTTGATAATGGATGGACTCTAACTAAATTAGAATTTTTAGAAGCATATATGTTATTAGAAAAATATTATGCACAAAAGCCCAAGTAAGGAAATGTAAAATAATAAAATCTTATTCAAAAGCAATTAATTAATATATATATGTTTTTTAAATTACCATAACAATAGTCCAGTTACGGGAAATTTGATCCAAGATGTGGATATAATGCAAAAAGCTCAAAGATATTTAAAATTTTCAATGGCTTCTTATGTACATAATTAAAATTTTTTCATTTAGAAGTAATTACTGTAGTTATTGAAAAAATGGATTAATCATAATTTTTAATTGTGTAGGGGTCTTTTTTATTTCATTGGTTTGGATATGGACATAATATGGCACCATTAAGTATATAATTATTTTTTTATTAATCTTGTGCTTATAATATAATTTATTATTTATCTTATTTAATATATTATCTAATTTTATTGTTAATGTATTGTATATGAATGTTATTGTAGATGCAATTAGATTAAATTCTGACCGAAAAGTTGTACAGGATTTTTTTGGCCTTGATAAAACTGATTTTATTTGCTGGGAGTATGGGCAAAATGCAGTTACTGTACCTAATTACATGGTAATTAGAGATCCAGAAACTAATTCTATCATTGTATCTATTCGAGGAACTATGGTAATATTTTATATATATTTCTTTAAATATAAAAAAATTTTTTGCTAACAACCAAAAAATTCTTTTTACAGAATGTTGCTGATGTGATTACCGATGCACTAGCACATTATGAACGATGGAATGATGGTCTTTTTCATCGTGGAGTATTACGCAGTGCGCAATATCTAGTAGATCGATCCTTAAATGATATTAGAGCAGCTGTAATAAAATTTAATGCAAATTCCATACATATAACAGGTCATTCATTAGGTGCATCTATATCATCTATTGTAACTCTTCTTTTACGAGAAAAATGTAAAGATTTACTTCTACGTGGAATTGATATTCGTGCTTGGAATTTTGCAACTGCTCCATGTTGCTCACATGATTTAGCATGTAAAACTGAGTCTGTAAATTATATTTATAATTTTGTGAACGAGAATGACGTTATTCCAAGATTGAGTTATGGTAATTTGATGGATTTTAAGGAGTTGGTTAAATTTGCTGCTAATGAATTAAAGAATGGAGAATATAAAAAGGTATGTAAATATTGATTTGTACAATAAGGCTTGTAAGAGTAAATAATAATGTTAAATTATAAATATTTTAAATTTATGCTTATTCAATTTTCAATTTTATTGTTTTAAATTGTTATTACGTTAGTTAAAATCGACCGAAAGATTATCTAAATTTTTCTCTTCTATCGATTCCTATCGCGCAACTTTAAAATCTAATCCGTCTAGCCAAAAGCTATACATACCTGGGACAATACATTATTTATATAAAGGGTTTTATCGTTCTCATACGAAATCATCATTAGTATGTTATACTAAAGATATAGTGTGTGAAAAATCCACACCAGATTTATTTACAGACATTAGTTTACGACGGAACTGGTTATTTCATCATTTTCCAGACAGGTACGATAGGAAGTTTAAAGGTGTTATAAAATTTTTGGTAAAAAGAGTGAATGAAGAAGAAATTGACAAAATAGAAAATTTTTGGAGAAAATGGATGAAAATGGATGAAATCGAGCCTATATCAGAAGAAGGTGGAAAACGGATTGGAAAATGGATGTCTAGAAGTGGACATTTTTAAATTTTGGGTCATTGGTAAATTAATCAAAATAGTAGATAGAGTTGTATATATTATTTTAGGTTTATTTATCATCTAAGTTTTGGATGTACTATTAGTGTATTGTTATCCGGCATTCATGTACAAACTACAATTCACATCGGATGGATTGAATCGATCATTAATATACATAAATAGTCAACTATAGTTAATTATTAATTATTAGTATTATTACTATATATAAAATAATCAATTAGTGCGTGTATATACGTAGTGAGTTCATTATATACAAACAGCCCCATCAAGCAAAGCCCGGAGAAAAATTCCCCGGGCGCCATTAAAATCTCTATTAATCACGACTTCACATTCATTACACTTGAACTCCCTGCTTTCACTCAAGTTGTGTTTGATAATCCATAGCAACTGAATAAAAACAATAAGGCATTAAAGGTAATAAAAAAGATAAGGAAGAAAGAATGATATGCAGCTAGATTACCTGCAGGTTTTGCTTCATTCTGGATGATCAATTCTTCATTCCACCGTCTTGTAAATAATTGTGCTAGTTTTACACTATTTTTATACAATATTTAAGCGAAAATGATTGTAGCCAGCGCTTCGTTTATTTTTTTTTATCTAATAATTGATATCTAGATAACTCTAGATGCCTATAATAAAACAAACAATAACCCTATAATCGCGATTTTGCTATTGTTATAAGTCAAATGGTCATAGTACTTTGTGGCACAGTAGTTCCGTTTTTCATCCATCGGTTATATGTAATATTTTTTAAGAATTAGGCCCTCGTGTAATTATTTTTAATTTGGGTCCGTATTTGTAATTATTTTCACTTTCCGGGCCCTTATTTGTAAATTCCCCAAGAAAAAAAATGATATCTTATATTGTTATCTTTATTAATCTTTAATGTATTCTACATTCATTCGGATATACAAAAAAAAAATAGTCTAAGTATAATGGGAATAAGTAAAAGGATATCAAATCATTTTTTTTAATTCTTGAGTAACATAAATACTAACCATTAGCACGTGCTTCAATAGACATGTTGTAACTATTCTCGGCACGTCTCAATGGCTCTCCAGTGATGAAGCAAATGAGATCCGCGCGTCACCCGATAAGCAGACTATAAACGTCTCTCATCTATGATGAGGCAAACGCAAATCGCGTGTCACCCGATAAGCAGACTATAAATGTCTCATCTATGACAAGGCAAACGCAAATCGCTCGTCACCCAATGGGTAGACTACAAACATCTCATCTATGACGAGGAAAACGCAAATTGCTCGTCATTCCTAAGACTATAGTAGTCTAATATAAGCTGTTTTTAGTTTATATAAACTAAAAACGGCTTGCTATAACGTCTTTCTGTAGTTTGATTTTCTAGTGTTGTTGGCCAAGGGATCGTCAGAAAGCGTTTAAATGAATGATGATTTTAAAGAGTATATTGTTATAAACAATTGTAGTATAAGTATAGAAAATTGATGTTTAAATTAGATTTTGAATAGTAAATAGATAAAGAGTACCAAAAAAATAATTCAAACCTTGTATTTTGTTATACTTTATTTACTTTTTATAAAATTTTCTTTTAAAAAAGTAAAGGGTAATAAAAGTTATATAAGTTTCTTTTTGTAGATTTTACAGTTGTATAAAAATATCTAAGTTTTTAATAGAATTTTTGCTTTATTTTTTTTTAGAATATCTTTTTTGGTTTAAGTATTAAATATACTAGAAAAATGAAAACTTAATCTAAAATATAAACTACTAAAAATATATAATGTCTTATAGTTTTGACCAGTGATTATTTTTCACTGTGCGGACTGTGCGCAGCGCACAGAATCAAAACTTTGCGCACACCTCCTTTCGAACAGA